ATCTTACCCAAAACAGTAGTGTATATTTGAAAGAACTATTTATAAGGTACCTCAAGTAGCTTCCAAGAGTACTATGGTATCACCATGATATGTGTTCAGAAAGCATAGTAATAATACCATGGCACATATTTTATTTTTTGCCTTCCTCACGGTTTCTTTTTCTGTTTTAACCCCAAAAATAAAACAAGTGATGTCTGTGGTTGTGGTTAAATGGAAAATACTATTTAGTTTTTTCTAATTCATAATTTCACTTTGATTCAGTGTGTTTCTCGCTGCTTCTTTGTAATGAACTGCGAGGTTTTCCAGCAGTTTGTGAGTGACACTAGTTTGAGCTGATGTTTGTGAGAGGTTTGTCTGTAGCGAGGCGGATCGATGGCGTGTGCTGGACGTCCCATCACACACTCACAGCATCATGAAGCAGCACTGCGTCATCAAACACAGCGTCCTCAAAGAGTTCCTGGCCGAGTTCCTCGGGACCTTTGTGCTGGTGGTGAGTTTCTGCATGCTTACAATCCTTCAGATTCTGTTCATATCTTCACTGTTCCTCAGGTTAAGGCCCTAAAAATCTTAAATCAGAGCAGAAAGCCTTAAATTCATAAAGTAACGTAAGGCAATAAATGTTGCATGAACTGCAAAAAATTAATATCTTCCTCAGTATTTCTGTCTTGTTTTCCAGTACAAATATCTAAACATCCTTAAATCAAGATACATTCACTTAGTTTCGAGATTCAAGTCTTGTTTTCTGAGAAATTGAACAAAATGAAGTGAGTTTATGATGGAAACAAGAACAAGTATATGACAATGGGGAATGAAAACTGAGTCCATTGGCAGATTTTCCTTCTTGCATTGAAATGGAAATTGGTTGTAAGTTGTGTTCAAAATCTGAAGTGTTTCTAATACAGCTTCATCAGAACTGCAGAAGCCCTGCTTTATTCTGCACAGACTCTCAAACAGAGTTCATGCTATAAATGTATATAATGATTCATTCTCTATTGTGCAGAGGTGCTGTTGATCAGTGATTGCTCATTGCTCTCTGTGTGTGTGTGTGTGTGTCAGCTGTTCGGCTGCGGCTCGGTGGCTCAGACGGTGTTGAGCAGAAACACTCTCGGGGAACCGCTGACCGTCCACATCGGCTTCAGCACCGGACTCATGATGGGCATCTATGTGTCCGGCGACGTGTCGGGTAAACACACACACACTCACACATTATATAAGCATACCGCTCTTCCCAGAACCGATCGATAAACCCAATCCACAGTGTCTCCTGGAGTTTGCTGGGGTTTCTCTCTGGGTTTCTGGATGAAGTCTTCTTCTCTCGGATGATCTGAGATGTTTCCTCAGCCGTCAGTCTCTGAATGACATTAGTTTGATCAAATGCTGCTCTTGTCTGCTTTCTGAGGTCATACAGAGCCTGGAGCGTCAGGACAGATCCATTGATCTGTGTGTGTGTGTGTGTGCGTGCATGAGTGTTTGTGTGTGTGTGTGTGTATGTGTGTGTGTGAG